GCGCCCATAGAGGATTGAAAGTCCCAAATCTACCAGCCATTGACCTTTGAGCCACTTATATTTCTGCTTTCCCTACACTATTTCTCTATGAGGGTCAGCCCATCCATCTTTCTTTTCTTTCACTACAGCAACATATTTTGCCCAGCAGACGAGGGTGATAACATAAAGCAGGTCCAAAATGACATTCAGAAGCCGGACTGCGGACTGGAGAGGTTAAAGTGAGGTATTCTTCAACTATCGAAGCAAGGAACACCGGTCGCACCATACCTGACTGTTTCATCATCCAGAAAACCAAGAAGAACCGCTCTAGGCTTCATTTATTCACTGCTTAAAACAGCGATAAGACCTCGAAAACCGTAATTTCAAAATCCAGCGATGGTATGCACTTTATTCCGCGAAATTTTGGTTTCCGCGTCTCAATGTGCCTCCTCGTGGCCTTCAAATCACATTAAGACCACGTTTTGATGTGATAAGAACAGAAGCTTCTCCGATCTAGGAAGTCTCCAACCTCCAGAAGAAGGCGAAGAAGAAGACTACAACTTCATTGATAGCCTAAGTATGTATCGTACCGAAAGTCTAAAAGGCATGCAATTTTCCCCTTTTTATTCTAGCAAACAAGCTGGAACTCAGAAAGCTTTTGTCTATCGAACGTGATCCGGACAAATTCAGAGGTCAGCCACTAACTCTGCATGTTTATCGGGCACTCACAAGTGCAGCAACGGGAAGAAAGACGACTGAGCAGCCGGCTGTGTGGCGTATGTGTTGAGTTGTGCTACCATACCGGGATGCACCAGCTAGCTGGCTAGGGGATCGTGAACGAGTAATGTAATGTAATACGACAACGTGCCGAGTGGCGTGGGTCCCTAGCTATCTAAGTTCGGTCCACTGAGGCTTTTCGAAATATGGCTATCGGTACCAGGCTTATGTGCAGTCGAACCTCAAAACATCAACAACTGGAAGTCATTTACCACTACAGCCAGCTCCACTTGAGGTGCATGAGGGTTCTTGGACGAAATCAGTGGGGAGAAAAAACCCAGTGGCCTCGCCACCGGCGAAACTCTTATGGTGAGGTCACTCAGCCCACCTGATGTTGATTGTCTGCATCTATTCCAGGCTGCTACTTCATTGGACGACCAAAACCCTCCTCACTCAAAGCCCGGCAACATAAAACTTTATGCCTGTGCGAATACGTGTAGAGACCTTACCACGTCTTATTTAGTTCGAGTGAAAAGGAGAGCGCCCGAAAGTAACCGAAGAATCAGCTGCTCTTGGAACAAGCTAATTAAAGATTAAGCAGCTTACTTTTACCATGGAGTATGAGTCTAACCGTCAGTACGGCTGTTTACTCAAGTTAACCCTGCCTTTAAAAGAGTTGTAAATGGAGCAAATATTCTCATTTCTGGCTTACACAGTTCTACCTCATTTGGTAACCCGAGTGAGTGAACTTCCTGTATACAACTGATGCAGTGTGACATGCTGAAAATCCAGTAAAGTATATCTGAAGCGTCTTTCCGGGTGGAACCACTACGATTATTGCTTGTTCTAAATGCAGCTTTGGAGTTGTAGACGCCGACCTGCGGTTCAAATAGGGACTTTTCTGAATTTTGGTCATCTCAACAAGGTCAATCTCTTATGGTTGATCGAAAATGGTGGAAAGATGCATCAGCTGCAGAGTTATTCGTCCCGGATATGTGACACGCTTGAGGGAAACAGGGAAAAGTGGGCCAGTTGCCGTGACTCATATGAGAAACATCTGACAAGTGCTTAACCAAGGAAGATTTTGAGGGTTTGTGGGCTATGAAGATTACGAAACCACTACCTTAAACAAATTGTCGGTAATGGAGAACGTAACAGTGCATGGCTAAGGATTCTGTACTTGATATCCTGTAATCCGTTTCTGCCTCTTGAAGTATCTCATAGAAAAAGACTAGTGACCGCCACTGGTTATCAGCCATTTATCTAATGACGACTTAGACTATTTGGTTGAATATAAAGGTGGAAACGGTCAACGGTTGTTGGGGTCATAATAGCTAACAGATGAATAAGTGAGTATACTCCCATGTGGAAACAGTTTTATATGAGCTGCCAATTTACAGGTATCCTCAAGGTAATATAGACTAAAAAAATATGCGCAATGGTCTACTGGACAGTTACTTACGCTGCACAGTTTCCGAGTGTTCGCGTTGAAGTTGCAACTCTTTCACAACGATGATTACTCATCCAACCAATGGAAGATAATGGATGCATAAACATGGCTCATTTTTGACAGCTTTCTTTACCGGAAGGAAGGCATGTTTAAAGGTAATGTCCAGACCCATGGGCTTTGTATTTCCATGAAAAAAACTGTCAAGCAGTCTTCCTAGGGAGATACAACTGGAAATAAGATTTTAGTAGGTGGTCGCAGATAGTTCAGAATAGCCGTCATTATATCCCTAATTACGCCTACTCCTTGGTCTTCAATAGCACGTTCCGGTAAATCAGGCGATCCCATTTCTATCAAGCATTTTCGGACATCAGCTGCTATTCTGGGTTAATTTTAATTGCTGAGTGAGAGACTGAGGTGGTTGTGGTTGGTTTTCTCGTGTAAATTGGCCATGAGATGGTCGTGGACGTAAACGGTGACACAATCTAGATAACAAGGAGCACATCTTCACAAAGACAGTGGGTAGTTTTCGGCTCGCCACTTGCAGAATGACCAAGAGACAGGAACCAAGTTCGTTTGTACGTTCAAGAAGAACGCCTGCGTCTGTACTAATCTTACCAGGATAGCAGACTTTAGTGTTTGCATCTGCGATGCCAACAGGCACCGATGATGGACTTCGTTGAGTTCCTGAGGTCCTAACTAGAGGTGCCTAGGTCTTGGCGGTCTGGCGTATCTTCGCTTTTGGTGTCAACTATCGACCTGTCAGGCCAAATGCAGCAGTAAACTGAAATGTGAAGGTGCTGCAGTGTATATCGCTACTTAGGGCCTTGAGACTTGAAGCTGCGTGGCGGAGCTTCAAAGATCTGCCAGCCTACTTTTCACACATTCAGATGTCTCTTACAGATTGCGAATTAGCAACAAGTTCAGTAATTACTTCCGTAAATTTCTAACGGTCAAGGCACTACAAGCTCAGTTTCCCGGGCCTACGTAAGTTCCTAAAAAATAACTGATGGACGAGACCGTCGTCAGACTCAGTAGTTGAACCCCTAGTTAAGTTCCTGCAACGAACCTGGGACCTTAGGCTTTGATGGTCTGTGAAATTGACTTTCTTCAAAGCAGCGGTCTTGGGCAATGTCTATGGATCACTTCTACAGGGCGTGAACAGGCGTGGCGTGACGTACGTAGCCAGCTCAGACAGAAGTAGCCATACGGTTGCAAAGAACCGAAAATGAAAGCCTTTGTCACCTTATTCCCGGAAAAAGGTTTCGGCATATGGAAAACGTGTTTCGGCATTGCATGCCCAGAACAGAACGGGCCGAATAAGAGACTTCAATACAGACAAGTTTAAGGATTCGGCCGCAGATGGAGATTAAAACCTATGGTAAGAATCATAAGGGTATAATATAATATGGTCCTTGCGTACCTAGAAAACCAGGACAATATATACCAGAAAAACTGTTCCAGGTCCAAGAGCTGAACCCGGGAGGATGTTAAATTATGTACCTCTTATCTACGACACACAACCAACCAAGATGAACATAAGTTCATACTGTAGATGGCGGTGTTCTGAATATCTTAGGGCCGCAGACCAAACGGTATTGCACTTCTTCGGCACACAACTTGGCGCCCTCACTTTGTAACTCTTTCTGAAGCCCCAAAAGACATGTATACTACCTTGATTAGATGTTCATAGTACCAATGTACCACGATACTAGAATTAAAATGGGAAACTCCTGGAGAAAGTTTGGAGGTAAGCAGTGAAGGGTGTTGTGGGGATTTGGCAGAAACCTTACGGGGACAGGTCAAAAGACCTAGGGCATTGCTGCCTTAGTTACCATAGATTACTTGGTGACTCAATAATGGCCTACAAAATACTAAGTAATTCAAGTTATCCAAACAGTGAAATCCTACCGAATAGCCACTTTAGGAATCACCGTGGCAACCCAAATAGAATCGTCAACCAGAAGACTAAACCTGATCTCCGTCCGCACTTTTCTCCTCTGCGAGTTTGCAGCCATTGGAGGGCACTGCCTAGTGGGTTTGCCGCTGCCTCATTTATCAATAGCCTCAAGGAGGGGTTCGACGGTCACTTATTAATGCACGGCTTGCGCTCATTCGACTACCATGCGGGCTACGTCAATGCGACCAACCAATCCTACACAATCCAGCGCAGTCAATCACACACCAACTCTTCAGTGTCGCCACCGTCATTAAGAACTTGATGTACTCCCATACTTCCCTGTTAGTCGGCTTATCCCCGGTTACAAAATCCCCTCTAGTGGCATTACAACTTCTATTCACACAACCCGCCCTGTAATCTTACTTGCTCCTTCCCCCCTCCAAAGCTCCATGATCTCACTCCATTCACCAAGGTTTCTCTTGTCATCGTTACTCCCTTGAATCAACCTAGGTTCTTCCTCCCCCCCCCCTTTCCGCTTCCTCACACCTTGTTTTATAGCACATCCTCCCCACTGATTTTCCCCGGCGTCTTTTACTCCTGCCCCCTTCTTTTTACAACCAGTCCAAACGGCTGTCTGGTGAAACGACTTCTGAGGAACACAACTCCACCACAGTCCTCGGACAAAGGAAACAATTCCTACAAATTTAATTATCACTCAACAGCCCATCGGGTTAACCAGAACTAAAATAAGCGAGTGGGTGCACTTACTGCATCGAAATCCACTAAAGACCCGAAAGCGTTCAGCAAGACCTAGAAGAGAGGGTCGAGAATACAATTGGTTTACACTAACTCATACAACGACATTGGATATTGAAATTAGCGCCATGGGTTGAGTAGTGTGTTACTTAAGCCTCATGAAGAAACTACACGTCTTAGTGACTTTTGGTTCCCACTCATATGAGCTCAGTTTTTGTGACCAGCCAATATTCACCAGCCGCTAAATTATTCTTCTATCGGCAGTACTTATATTTCGTAGTCACAGGTACGTTTTAATTTCAGTTCTGTCGTTGACTATTATCCAGGACTAATTTTGTGGATATGATAATTAAATATCAAGCAGCTTGGGCGTATCGACCTTTTTACTTTAGTGTGTGAAATGTACCCATCAGGATATGAAAGGCATTGACACTGTCCAAACTTGTTTTGAAAAAAACCCACTGATGAGTATACTCATCAGTTTTCGATTTTAATGACAGCTCATTTGTTGATAATATTTGTGTTGCCATGCTTGAAAAACCGTTTTAACTATCGAATCACTACACTGTAAGAATGTATAAATTTTTGACTGCACAGCTTTGAAAATGAAATCGCTTAAAAGAGACTCTTTGCTAAAATACTTCTTTTTACTTCAGCCTAGACTGTCTGAGCCATTCATACACTTACTGTGGTTCATAGCCAAGTGCATAGTGATATACCAGTCAGATAAGTTGGATTTCATTCAGGGTTCCAAGTCACTGGTAATGTTTTGCTCATGCACAAATTCTAGCAGAGGCAAAGAATAATGGTCTCAACCAAGTTACCTTTATTACCAACACTGATTGGATATTGACCAATATTGAGAGAGTATACTCTCCTCTTTAGCGGTGAATAATCACTTCCTGCTTTCATGGTCTCATTCAAATGCCATTAATGGTTGTGAACCTTCACATATTTTCTTTGGTTCATAGATTATTATTTCGATAAACAAGCTGTTTCTGAGGTGGTAAAGGATTCTTTTTCTTCGTAATGCATTAATTACAGTGAATACCTAACCAGAAACTTCTCTGTAAAACTTTGCTTTACGACTTAGAATATTGCCTGGGGATTTTTAAGACCAGATAATAGTATTAATTTTCTCATACTGAAGAGATAGGTTTTTCAGTTTCAGAGCATATTTCACATCAGAAGGGTATAATCTCTAATTTCATCAACTCAGCCACTAGTGTGCATGTAAGTCGAATGAAAAGTTCTTGTGAAAGCCCAGAACACTGAATCTCAGCAGTAGGTGACCTTTCAAATGAAGTACAAATAGCCATCTGGGTGAACAAGTGTATAGAAGTTGGTTTGACTTCTTTACTGAAAAGCACTTTAGATATATACAACGTATCTATGCTGTCTAAATGTTTTTTACTTCCACATTTATTGCGATACACTGATAGTCATTGAAATACGTTTTTAACGTTGAGGTATGACGATCGATTTTTACGAAGTCATTTGGTCAGTTGTTTGTGGCTGTTTTTGTCTCTACCCGAATTCTTTCATAGCCTGTGAAACACCAATGGTTTTCACGCTCATAAATAGGGTTGTAAATCATCAATTCAAGTGGCTGGGAGGTATGGTAGGCATCCTTAGTCACCACCTGCCTGGTTATACAACATAAGCTAAAGTAAGTTTGAGCTGGAAAAAGGTTCTCGGCGACCAGGCTAAAACAAAGCATCATTACATGAAGTCTTTGACTGTCGATCTGATTCATGAATGGTAGTGTAAACTTCCCGATTGGGGTTCACGTGATCACAAAAACCAGTTGTTAGAGACTATGCGACATGATTCGGAATCGATGTCACTGGCGCAGATGTATCCACACATCCTCGTCTTGACTGTCAGAGATGATTTCAGTATTCTCATTCTTCCCTGCTCTTTTTCGAGCTTCGCTGCACCTACCGAGGTTTGAGCAGCCAGGTGATATTACTGGCCTTCGCATACTAGGTGTGGCTCGTTGCCTACTGTACGAATGTGCATAAGGTTGCTGAGTGCATTTCGATTTTCCACTCGATCCTTTTGATAGCTTTCTACCATTTAACTGCTTTCTTTATTCCTTTATCTTTCATCTTGGCGTATTCTCGCTTCAAGTGCAGACATGTGGTGCAGCAACTTGGACTGTCACGCAGTAATACTTGGTGCCGTGTTGATTTCGCGTGTCTATCTTCCTCAACTGCTGGCCAGGTCGTGGCTACGCACTGCTTAGGATTACCGTACTAGGACAAGACAGGACTATATATATATATATATATATATATATATATATATATATATATATATATATATATATATATACTGCGTCTTGAACTCCATAGTTTCTTTTTTTCTTCCTGTTTGCCTTCTTAAATTTTCCGACCCATTTTTTTGACGTATCATTAACATCGAGCCTAGTCTCTGACCAACAAACTTTTCACTTCTGAGTTGACTTTCTCTAGAATTGTTTGAATGTTTATTTGCGTGGATGCTGTCCGTGCTTTTCTAATAAGTCACAAATGTGTTACTGATGGAAAAAGGTTGGCATACGTGACAAGTAATGTTTGACTTGTATTCTGAAAATATTATCAAGCGCCTTCTCCCTACAACTCGCTTCTCATATTTATACTCAAGGCATTTTATTATCAGTTTCAGTATCCACCTTTGTTTGTAACAAGCTAAATAGTTTGTGGTGAAGCACACTTATAGTCATCTGAAATAAAAGTGAATATTAATTCAGACATTAACCAACTAGTATCTGCACCTGTTCTTATTCTTCCACACTCTTGAATAGCGTACTTGTAATTGTTGAACCGTGATGCGGGGGGGGGGCGACATTACTATTTCTACAGCCGCATCTTTTCGGCAGATATTCGTCAAATATGCAGGAATTATTGGATGAATCTTAGAAAGTCGCGTGGTCAGTTCCTTTTATGGGGTAATTGATCTTATGAGAATTGCATGTAAATTTTCAAAAGTAGGTTTCATCCTCTAAATTGTAAAGCTCTCGGATACTGTTTATCAAACCATCAACTAAGAATATGGACTTTAAGTTGAAGTGTAAACGTCGAAGACATTATGTATATGTGTATAAATTTTCATTCTGTGCTCACGTTATTTTACTCTAATCTTGCCTGCTATGCTTCTTAACTGAAGTACTTTTTAATTTTTCTCTATCTTGTGGGTTATCCTTCATCATAGTTCTTGCTTCAAACAGTTATCCACACCCATCACAAATCAAAATTCTTAGTCAGCATTTCTCACCATCCTTTCAAATGCTATGTCTCCAGGTCTTTTAAAAACTGTTACGCATGCTCAACGGGTTCGTTTCCTGTACAAATTTATACTCAGTTTACATCGTTCTCTGCCTCCTACTTTGAGAAAAGTTGGCGATAAATATGTGAAAACAGAATTCAAGAAGCATAGAGATGTCAAACCTGAATTCATTCAACCATTTATGATCGAGTGGACAGTAAGTAAGGCTGAAATACATCGATCTTTATTTTCTTAAAGTTATATCTAACTTGTTTTGACACTGGGATTTACTACAAAATAGATGTAGTGGAATAATTTCCTGCCAATGTATGTTATTGGGAGCCGCTACCTTGACGTGATGGTCCGGAATTCTAGCCATGGAATTATGCTGTGTCTTCAAGACGCGTGTACAGGACTTGAGTGTGGTTATTAAACTGGCCTCACCTGGCCATAGTAGTTAATCTTCAAAATTCATCTTACGAGTGTCCAGAGACCCAGTGGTCAGCTTTTGTGAACTCTCTTGTGTAGGCATAGCATTCAGCTGTAGAGCACAAAATGCACTTTTTGACTTGATACCAGCCAACAGCCATATATGTGCCGTTTGAATGATCCGTGATCCATGAGGACTAGGAAGGACCGTCAGATTAAACGATGCTTATTCGTAATTTCCGCATATACACCCACCGACTGCAGTTCAGATGATGCAAAGGATGAATTCTATGAGAAGCTATTAACTTTGCTACATAAAGCAAAACGTTCAGATACAGTCATAGTGGCAGGTTTTTTTCAGCGTTCAAGTAAGGAAACTGAGCCAATCGGAAAGGTATCTTGGGAATACTTACAAAATCCCATGCCAACAAACTGACAACGTTGGTCGTCTGTTGCAATTTTTTTTGACCATCATTTGTTATTGGCTAGCACTAAATTTATGCGTAATGGGAAACATCGTCTCACATGGTATCTGCCGACATCAGTGAGGCCCATTTGTGCTCGATTGGTAAATGAGGACGCATTTGGAGAAGAGTCAGCTAAGCATTTGTCTGGACGTGACAGCATTTTTCATGCGGAAGAAGTCGCATGATATTAAGTCTGCTTTAGAAACAGTGGTGAGAAAATTTCGTAACCTACACACAAAGATTACCAAACCTAATTTGATTTCCGTGACTTCATCCGAATTGATTGATATGAGAAGACTGATTCCAGCTTCCTCTGACCACGGCTAAGAGCAAAAGTAGCTTAAACGCAAGTTGACCAAGTGTCTTCTTCGTGTTCTAGTCAACCTAGAAAGTATTGTAATTTCATACCTTCGTTTCAAAATGCGTCTTTGGTATTTTGGATTACTCAAAAACTTTTCATCTCATCAGTTTCTTTGCATTCACACATTGAATAAGATCATTCCCTGAAGTTTATACAATAATTACATGTAAGAAAGTATCATTAAAACAATAATTTTATTGATAAGATTTATTAGATGGTCTAGCTGAAGCGTATTGTAGGTTTTTATCAGATGGTTTGTGTAAACGAATCAGTTTCCATTTAACTATAGAATATCGCGCACTCATTCAACAGCATAAAGTCTAATTGGTGGAACCATCTGTCATCTCTTCGATCTCAATTTACCTTATTAATGAATGATGGTTCAGCGATATCATGAACTGGAAATATTGACCATTTAACTCTTGTATTATGTTTGGGATCTGATTGCCAGATATAAAGTATGGACTACTAGACTAAGATTAAAAGGCCTGTTCGGTATTTTTATAGTTGTATCACATGGTTGTCTTTTGCTATATTGAGTTGTGGATCATTGACTTCAGTTAGTGACTTTCAGTCAGTGGGCCATGGACTCGATCCCTGCTTCACCTATTGAGGTTTTGGCATTCAGGTAGTATCATTAGACCTGACACAATATATATGGCTTAGTAAATAGTGCCTGAAAATGCAAATGGTTATTGAGAAAGTTTGAGCTCGAAATAATAGAGAATATTTGTAGCTCAGGTGGATGATCTTGCTTGGATTGTGTTCTCTGAGCTGAGAGAACACAATCCAACCAAGATCATCCGCCTGAGCTACAAATATTCTCTATTATTTCAAAATCATACGAATGTGACACGCTTAACGTTGTTCGAAGATGGGAAGACTTCTCCAAAAGGGCAAGCTTCCACAAAAGAATAAGTATTCTTTCTCCACGAATGCCTACGTCAGCATGCTTCTGCCAAAGAGTGTCAGATATAGACCACCGATTAACTGTCCAATGGGATAGAAGATAGCTGCACAAAAAAGCACGATTAAACAACCCAGCTCAGAGAATACAATACAACCAAGAAAGTTTGAGTCTTTTTAAATTTAATTTTCTACCTTAAAATGATGAGTACTATCTGCAAACGAATCAGTTCTCGATGAATTATTGAAAATATTTGTATCCTTTGCAGAAGTATGCAGTTGAATTGTCAAAACAAATCAAACAGTCAATGCAAAGAGCTAATGATAAAGAAATAAATGAGAAAAGTGTCAGTGAAGCAACATTTGGTAAACCATTAGATGAGAAATCATTGAATCATTTCTCAGAAGCACAACTTAGTCAGTTATTATCTCTTGCCAAGGAAATTCATGATGAAAACAGTGAATCAAGAGAATAAACTGATCGCTTTACCCTCTGTCTAAGTTGCTGTAGCCAAGTTTTTCAACTTTTTTACTATACAACACGTACAACATAGTGTCTATTGATGATTCCTGTAACTACGAACTCACGGCGTGGTTGACTTAAATACTTAATAGTTACATGTTTTTCCTTTTATTTTTACCTAGAGACATTCGTTAACGCTTTGCTTTCTTCTAATCAACTGTTAGGTACTTTATATTCTGATATTTGCATTTTCTGTGGTTTTATGTATATCTGTTATATCAGTGATAAAAAATTTACAGATATAGTGAAAAAAAACTAGTTTTGTTTACTTAATGTCTATTTATTTGACTGTTACACATATTCTGTTGTCTTATCACCTAAAAAGTTGATATCAGCTTAAATCTAATCTTTCAAGTTGTTATTCATCGTAGACTGACATCAGTTGGAGGAACAAAGGAAACCTGGGAGCACTGGATAGCTGTTTCGTCCTAGTATGGGACTCCTCAGCAGTGAGCACCCACGACCCCACTAGCAGGGATCGAACCCGCGACCTTCAGGTTCCGCGGCCAGCGCGTTACCATACTAGGACGAAACAGCTGTACAGTGCTCCCAGGTTTCCTTTGTTCCTCCAACTGATGTCAGTCTTCGATGAATAACAACTTGAAATATTTCCAAATCTCCACAACCCCCTCAAAAAAATTTAATTAAATCTAATCGTTATGGTTCTATCAGATTCAGTCTTTCAAGTGAGACTATGAAATCAGAGCTTTCATGACCTGGGATAAATCTTTTTAACCTATCTTCCTGAAGTTGTTTTGGATACTGTCAATAACTCAACATTAGGGAAGTGAGTTGTACACATTGACTTATTGAATATAAAATATTCATCTAATTCAGCTGATATTCAAACGGCCTTCCTTGTACTATGATGGGAGTTTAAGGTTGAAGTCGTACTGCTGGTTGTATGGGGTTGAGACAGCAGTAAGCTGTTTCTCGTGGATGACTAGTGTGTTACTACCTTCCTTATTGGGATAGCAGGTTGAAGAAATCCGGCCGTAAAGATAACCTTCTACCCCGCGGCATACCGTTGCCTGCGATATGGGTTCATAGTCAGCTTCAAAACTAACAAACTTAAATCTGAAATTTTAAATAGGCTGTTTCTGACATCTCAAATAGATGCATACACATTATCCTCATTTTAACGCTATCCCGAATCTCACCATTTTCTTATTCTCCCTTTCTCTCTTTTCGTACTTCATATTCCTTTTGGCTGAGTTTTCTTTCCTTCTTCACTTCATTGCCTTTTTACTTGATGTACTGATGTGAAGTGTAGCAACTCGGACCGTTACACAGTAATGCCTGGATGGCTGGATGTAAAGGTTTCTTCACTAATCATCAGACAACAGCGTTTCCTGATTTTTAGAAGATCTGCAGTGGAGTTCACTCTTTAGTGAGAAGTATCTTCAAATAATAGTTCGAAAATTAACTTCGAGCGTTATCCATCCTTAGACATGTTGATTTAGTACATTTTTACTCATAACTGAAAAAGTTAGCGTACTTTATTATACGGTCGAAATTGTCTTCACTGAATTGCACTGACCCATGCATGATAAGCTGAATTGTAAACAGTTAACTGGATATGAACTCATCTAGTTTTTTAAACTGATGCAATTTTCTCTGAATTGATTTCGGTGATCCATTGAAGTTTGATGTATAACACATTATGCGGTCAGAACTGCAAATTTCAGTATTCTTTAAATACAAAGAGTAATAATACGTTTGTTACTGTCTAAATTTTCAGGTCAGTTATGAAAGTTAGTGTACCTTTGTAGACAATGAAACTTATTTTTACTTTTTTCGGCTAGTAAGATGGTATTGGTGGCATTTCTTTTACAAAATACAAAAGAATTAGTTGCAATAAATTAGGTTTCCAATGTACTAGGTTCGATATTGATTGATTACTGTTATACATACGAAAAAGAACTAAGTATACTGTAGTTTTACAGTCTAATTATGACAATATTTAAGTAGATTACATAGAACACAAAGTCTTGCAATAAGTTTCCGTAAAGTAGTACAAAATGGAATAGCAAACCATTGAAAGTAGTATATATATATATATATATATATATATATATATATATATATATATATATATATATATGTTCAGTGAAAATAATTCAAGGGTTAGTGTCCTCCCCATGTTTCATGTGAATGTCCACAACCATGTTTATTACGTCTTTGAAGATATTCAGTCGGTGCACCATGTATTGCAAATCTATCTGCTATTTCACCTTCAATTGATGTTCCAGGTGGTGTCTAAGGTAATTTTAACGAAAAAAAACATTGAAAATTCGTAGGTGTAAAACTTAGACACTGTGGTAGGAAGTAATTCCATATTAGGTTTGCTTATTTGATTTATAATACACAGTGATATATTATGATTTACTTGATGATGTCTCCGACATAAATTATCATTGCTCATAATCATATCAATGTAATCGCACATAAGAAACGAAATAATAACGACAACACAAGTAGAAAGGAGTTCACAGCCTCCATTATGTAACCCTATAAGGAAGGTACATCAGAAACTTTACGTAACATTGTCAACAAAGCTGGAATTAGGGTGGCATTTAAACCTACCTACAAACTCACTCAGAGATAAGCTTTGTCAGCTTGAGGAATCAATCAATTCAGCAAAATAATCTGATCTATCAAACTCCATGTAATGACTGTGAAGTCAAGTACATAGGTCAAACTAGCCGGTCGGGGTCGGTTAGAATAACCGAACAGGGGAATTCAACTAAATATGGAATGATAGATACCAATAAGATTACTTTTTTTTCCCTTGGGTTCCCAGTGGGACATAGGGCTCCAGTGGCACGCCTCCATTACACTCTCTTCTCTGCAGTCTTTTGAATTTGGCGCCATGACTGCCCACAAGCTTTTATTTCTTCCTCACATGATCTCCTCCATGTCACCCTTGCCTCGGACGCCCAACTAGTCGTTTCCCCTCTGGGTTCCACTCGAGTACCTGGCCTGGCGCGTGATTTCTCCAGTCAGCCTTCTCAGTGTATGCCGAAGCCCATCCATCTCCACTTTCTTCTGCATATTTGTGAGGTGATAGGTTCCTTTCCAGACTTTGTTGCTTATTCCTATTATTCTGGCCATCTGATCTCCATCTTTAGTATCGAGCCAGCGTAGTCAGCTGTTGATGAATGTCTGTAGTTTGTTGGAAGTGCTTTTCGTGACGCGCCAAGTTTCTGAACCGTATAGCAGCAGTGACTTGACATTGGTGTCGAAAATCCGGATCTTGTTCTTTGTGCACCCTTACCATATAGCATAACTTTATTAGGTCTAAACATTAAACCACTCAACTTAAAATCTCAAGAGAATATGAAACATGCAGATTTAAAATATGCTGAATAGTTACATTTTATCATGAATGAAATTTAGAAAGTAGCCAAAGCTTATGCAGATACAGTGTACCAAACAATGTACAACAAAAATCAGCAAAAAACTTCCCGCTTGCATATAATCCTTGTAGATGAAGATGCTGACAAAATGCAGGGTCTTCAGAACGCACTGAGCAGAAATCTGTGTATGTTTGGCATGCCTTTCGCTAACACCTGTCAAATGTAATATGATGCTTCAAGACTTGTCTGATGCAAGTACTCCCAGTTTAATGACTAGGAGTGAAGTGGTCGACCACTTGATTTACTTGGGGAGTTGCATCAGCCTAAATGAGCTGATAGGTTAGGAAACCTCAGATGGGATACAGAAGTTCCTTTGGTATTCGTTAATTTGCATCATCTGTGCCACTAACTGGAGAGATATCCGACTATCTTTTGAAGGACAAGTATACTACGCTTCAATCAGTTCTGTCCTGTTACACGGCTGTAAGACATCGCCGCTAAAAGTAGAAGACATAAAGCGGTTGCAGGGTTGTAATTGTAGATATCCCCGTAGCAGTGGTCACGTTTAGTGCAATCACTGTTTGAGCACAGTTGAGGTGAGACGAGTTATACTACGAAAGAGAGACAAGTCGATTGACGAGGTTGTGCACCTTAGTCGACTAAGATGGCTTCGACCTCTCGATTTGGAATGCTAGAGGAAGGTGAATTAAGTTGAAATGAGGTTCAGGGTGGCCAAAAGAAGACGTAGCATCAGTCGATGAAGTCCCTGACTGTCCGCCTAAGTCGTGTTGGGAAATGTAGACTGCGTTTCTGGGGACTTCAAGACGAAGGAAATCAGTGGTTGAAGATTCTTGGTGATATGCATGGGAATTCTTCACAATAGCGCAGACATCTGAAGCTTGAATATTCCCACCAATCTTTATCTTTAGATTCCTTATTGTCTCATACAACTTTATCTACTTTGGTATCACTCCTTTTGTATCCACCTTTTCATTGGATGCTGTGAAGTGTGGCAACTTAAGATGATGAATTTGTGTGCGTGGTTTTACCTTGATTTTTTCAGTCGGCTTACATATAATGGGAAACGACGAGTTGGGTGTCCGACGCAAAGGTGACATGGAGGAGATCATGTGAGGAAGAAATAAAAGCTCGTGAGCAGCCGTGGTGCCAGGTCCAAAAGACTACAGAGAAGAGAGTGCAATGGAGACCTGCTACTGAAGCCTTATGTTACACTAGGAACCCAAGGGGATAATAATACATATAATGTTGGTTTATTGATATTTGTAATATCCCGTTGCTATAATGGATCCGATTCATCAATCTTTGTTGCCATATGACCCGGGCCAGGATAACTCAGTACTGTCAGAAAGCTCATTACACTATAATTTGCTTGGTGGTAGCTAGCAGGGGAATCCATGACGTGCGATCCATCCCATTTCGGACTTACCAACGGTAGACTTCAATCAGGTATATATATATATATATATATATATATATATATATATATATATATATATATATATATATATATATATATATATATATATATATATATATATATAGTAAGATTTATCGGTCTGTGTTGAGTTACATTGAGGACAGGACAAAAGAATCTGGGCACAGTAATTAAAATGCCAAGGAAATATAGCATCATTTAGGTAGATTAATGGTAAGGAAAATCACCATGCAGACTAGTTAAAAATATTGTTGATAGTAACGTGCGTCACAGCAAGTGAATCGATTAGTGGCAAGTTAACTCAAATCTGAAATCACTGGTTCTCCTATAACTTAGTACTAGTATTTGCAATCAAAGTGCTTTTCCTACCTGTTAAGCAGTGATAGATTCTATGGTCCCTATGAACGCTAATAAACGTGCAGTGAAGATAACTGAGGACATATTGATGATCATCAAAGTAACTTTTCCAAAAGTCTTACGAATATATGTATCCTTATTGAACAGTGAATAGATTAAAAATTCCCTTGAGAAATATTCATCTACAGTAGCAGAAACTAGTGTCAAACAATGGAGTAAAAGTGGTCTAAACACGATCGACAATGAATCAAGAAATAGTTGTCAAGCTTTGATCTTCTTCAACAAAATTATTCTCGGTACTTTCAAGCCCAGAAATATAAACCTCATTAGCAGATTTGCTCAAAACAACTCTATAAGAAATGTAAAGAGGACATGGAATGAAATAAACAGTTTACGTTACAGTAGTACAGCCTAAATTAAGTAAATAGAATAAGCATTAAATGAATTTCAGTACTGAATATCTTTCGTTTTCTTGTTGTTGAAAATTTGGTAAACATAAGGTGGCAAGCAGCCACACTAGATAAAATCATTTGTACTGCTTGATGATTGAAGGCGAACTGAAAATTTAGACCGCTGCCTGATTCGAACCAGTTACCATCGGGTTTCTGACCTAATGCTCTAGCAAATGAGCCACGAGTTGGTAGGGTATCGAGCCGGAAATTCGACGGCCTCTGGTTCGAACCCAGCCACTTCATTTTCAATCATCACCCAGTATAAATACTAGTCTTTCAAACTATGGCTATCTCGGATAGTCAAAATAAAAATCATTTATGCAAATCTGTAATGTAATATGTTCCCAGTATAACAATAAAAGCTAAATTATTCAATGTTTAAAAATTCCTGGATTATGTTGGGAAATGTAGACTTGCTGTCTGAAATCGTAGACACTACTACAGATGTTTTCCATTTCTATCTTCCTCGAATAAAATTTCAAGAATATTATCCCTCTACACGTGTTAGTTACTTGTCTAGAAAGACGATAAAAGCTCCACGACTAAACAACCCAGCAGAGAGAACATAATACAACCAAGACCATTCACCGGAGCTACAACTATTCTTCACCATATATGTGCTTAACTTTTAGTATTTGAGACAGGGACAAGTTGAAATGACCGACTTTCGAAGCAGTTTCACACTGTTTTGAAATATAATATCACTGAATCTATGTTTTTATAAGTAGATATCCTTCATCAACATTTGTCAAACTCCCTAATGAAAATATTCTATGCTGAAAACCTCCTTATTGTGTTCTTATGTCAGTGGCTGATTCATCAGTCTGTGAAAGACAAGTTAATGCATTGAACTTCATCATTACATATTTACAAGTTCACTTGCTCCTGTGAAACTGAGTACATCTTTCATGCTGTGGGCTGGCTTGAGAAACGCTTTTGCGAACCCCACTCATCCTGGTTGTTGAAGGGGGAGCACAAAGCTATCTCTACTTTTTAACACCTCATAAACTCTGGACATTTAACTCCTTTACAAACCTCATTCAAAGTTCTTTGCAAAGTTCGACCAAACCTGTTCAAGTGGTGGTAATGTTTTGAAACTTGTGTACAGCTGAAGCTTTGGTTGCTCTTTGCTTCAAACCTGAATTGTGTATTACAAAGAAATATGACCATTTCCTCAGTCACGTACTATGCACCTCTGTTTATCTCTTATTTTTACAATTTATTTATTTTATAAAAAACTATTGAAATCATGTCCTGTGTTACGCAATATCATTTCATTCCCCATACACACTTATTGATTAGTTTTGACCTTTGACTGAGACATTTTATCATCATACTGCTTTATACCCCTAACTTTGCGTAGCTTTTGCCTGCTATTTTGGCCATGAACTTAAAATAACCTACATGACTTTTTTTTAACACCGTTACTAGTTTTTCTCCTTTCAAGGTTCAACTCTCATTGCCTGCTAACTATTTTTACCCATATGCGGATTTGGTGTTTTCAAGGTCATTTACGAGTGTACATATTCAGCATCGGTGTCAACTGCATTGACTATTGTTGAGACAGTAAAAGCTGTCTGTCAGCTGTCTATCTTCCCTTCGCGTATTTGTGGTATTGTTGCAGTGGTGGTTGACGTTGTGATTTGCGTTAGAGTCGATTCGTTTTCGCGTTAGGTTCGTAGTCTGCTAGGTTGATAGAGTCTTAGGTTATACTACCGGATATCTTCCCCGGTCGATTCATCTCCAGCCAGCGACAATGTCAGTAGCAGTATATTGGAATTCGTCTACAACCAAGGTGCAAATATAACGTTCGATACGCGGTTTCGCAGATACGAAGGCTTGTAAAAAGAAAACTTCACAAACAGACACGATGAATAGAAGACCGGGCTGTTACTTTGAAAGTTGGGAGCGGACAAATTGGATAAATATTACAATTTGATCCTGCCACAGGAACCTAGTGATAGAATGTTTGAGGAGACCGCACAGACACTTCGTCATGAGTTTGGTGACCACAGGTCGTTGTTTTACATACACTACCACTGTATCAAGCTGGTGCTGAACGGAAACGACGATATTCACGCACAGTTAGGAATAGTCAACCGCACCTGTGAACGTTTCAAGTTGAAACCACTTAAATAAAATCAGTTCGAACTCTTGATCTTTATTCGCTGGCTAAAGTCCCCACAATTCGCCAATTTACGAACACGCCGGTTAAACAAATCAGAGCAGTATCCACAAATGACATTGAAAGATATTGAAGAAGAGTATCAGCGGTTAACCAACCTTGTTCAAGATACCACCTTAGTCCAATCGGGCGGTCAGCGTGCAGCAGAAGTACATGTGATGCATTCAGTACCGTCGACGTCGAATTCACCGCATCGAAAATCCCCCGTAGCATGCTGGCACTGTGGCGCTAGGCATTACGTAAGATCTCGCCTGTTCAAACACCAAAAATGCCGACGATGCCTTACTATTGGACACAGATGAGTGCTGCAAACAGAACAGTCTACCAAAATCCAGGAGCCGGTGTCATAGACATCTAATGCCAAGGTCTATGTGTGTTTTATTGCCACATGCAACATAAGTACTCGCGCGCCACGCAAATACATTGATGTTATGATCAACGCTACATGCCCAGTGGTTCACAATGGAAATTTCAATGATACCAATGAAGTGAAGACAGAAGTAAGACAAGGCTGCCGCCTCTTATCACCGACGATCTTCCTGATTGTGGTGGACTGGTTCATGTAAAAACTGTGAGGAGCGAGGAGAGGGGCATACACTGGACCGGTGAAAAAAAAACTACCCGAATGGATTTCACCGATGATGATTTATGTCCAATGTCTTGTCGCGCAAACTCGAAGACCTACAGACAAAAACCAACAAGTTGACAGAAGAGGCTAAGCAGCGAAGATGGGACTTCAAGTGAATGTAAAGACAGAGGTGATGAAGATACCCAACCAACAACAACAAGCACCAATCGCCACTAACCGGAGAAACCTAAAGGAAGTAGTATCTTCCACCTGCCTACCTACCTACCCAGGCAGCATCGTTTCAAATACAGGCAGCACAGGCACAGATGACGACGTCAAAGCCAGGATCAGAAACACAGCAAGACAAGTCTTCATTAACCTGAAGTCATTGTGGAGATCTACTGAACTCAGTATAAAGCATGAACAACAGCCGGATTTTCAACACCAATCCAGTCAAGTCAGTGCTTCTCTGTGATGGCTCAGAGGCTTGGCGCGTGACCAAAAGCATTTCTTACAAACTGCAGACATTCATCAACGGCTGCCACCTACGCTCACTCCATACTGAAGATCAGATGGCCAGAAAGAATAAGCAAGGACGAACTCTGGCTGGCAACGAACCAACCAAGAACCTATTGCCCAACTATTATGCAGAAGAAGAGAGTGTAGATGGATTGTACGTACACTGAGAAGACCATTCGGGGGACATCATGCGCTAGGCAGTCGAGTGGAATCGGGATGGGAAACGACGAGTTGGGCGTCCGAGGCGTAGGTGACATGGAGAAGATCATGCGAGGAAGAAATGAAAAGGTTCTGGGCAGTCGTGGAGCAAGGTTCAAAAGACTGCAGAGAAAAGGGGGAAATGGCAACATGCTGCTGAAGCCCTATGTTCTAGTAGAAATCCAAGGGACAATTAATAATAATAATAATAATAACAATAATAATAATAATATGATCAACTGCCAGCCTGCACGTCTTTGAGTAGACACAGCATCAGATATAACAAGAATATCGGAGAATCTATGACAGAAATTGAGAAGACCCACCATGGAGAAGACAAACAAAATTGCGAATGCATAGCTGAGAAAATGAGTCGTCAAAAAGATAATTATCTTCGCTGTAGCCTCTTTTGTTTTTTAATGACCAAATAGGGATTTTTCGTCATTTAAAATTTAACTGCCAACTCAAGATGATGAATAGTTTAAGCATTGTGGTTCCCTCAGACAAAGTGCATCTTTTTATTGAAAATATGCTGAATATTTTAGGTTATATTTCTATCACCTACCACATTCTAAACGTTAAACAAATGAAAGATCCCTTAACTACTTTCGGATATCAGTGATATTTATCTGCCTTCACATTTGTTTTAAAAACAAAATGTTTAATTTGTTTCTGCGATATGTTTCCAGATGGATATCACGAAGTTCTAACGAGAATCCGTGACCTATGACGTCAACTAGTCCGAAAGAAGCTGATGCCAACTGAAGACCTTGGGTGATAGTCACGCTATATCGTGAACTGACAGAAGTTGAAAACTGTGAACCGCTGAACTTCGACCCAGTGGTTGAATGGTTAACACATTCGCCAAGAAAAGTAGAGGCCTTGGGTTCGGTCCCTGACCGGATCATGAGTCCGTACTGCTGAGGAGTCTCACACTAGGGTGGAACAGGTGTCCAGTGCTCTCAGGTTTTCAATGGTTCCTCAACTAATATCAATCCTTGATGAATACTACCTCTAAAACAATTAATTCTTTAGTATAAATTACTCTATAATAAATAAACCAATATAGAATGCAGACAACCAACCTGTCCATTTTTTTCCAACACTTTTTGAATATTCAATGATTCAAAATATGATTTAGCATATTTATCTAATTGTCCATTATAAACTGGGATAATTGATCCATGTTTTGGATTCGCTTTTGAATAATCATCAGAAATTTGTCTAACAGCAATACAATCTAATATAAATTTTCTCTCTAATAACTCTAATTCTTTTGGATTACGATGTGAATAAATTTTATTTATATAATTATGTGATTTATTTTGATTTTTACAGCATACCATTTTTTAAAATTAAATTTTGACTTAAGAAAATGAAAATATTTTAAAGATATTAAACTTTGTTCAATGTTTCAATATGCTTTGTGTTTATTTATTGGTTTAAATGATTCACTGTTCTTCTTTGAATGATGATGGCGATAATAAGTGAGGATATTTTTTCTGTGCTTAGGTTGAAGTTTCACTTCTTTAGTAAAATAAAATACTCTTTTCTTTCTTTTATAATATCCTTTTTTCCTTAAATAGTTGATGATTGGTTGATCTGGAAAAATATGTAAACTTGTTATAGAGTTTTTATAGTATATTGGTCATATTGTTAGTCATCCTTTCAATCAGGTGAATAAGTGTAATGGTGGGGTTTTTTATTATAGAAAGTACTAAGCTTGAGTAATTAATGAACTTTTATTATACAAAATACAAATGAGTGTCTTATCTAGATATTTATTTCATTAAAGAGCGGTTAGTAGTCATAGTAATAAACTTTCAATAATCCTAAACATATTTCATCTATAAAGCTGGAGATTTTAGCTTCTGGTACTTATTTAAGTTATTCGAGGTTCTTACTGTCAAACTATTACTGCAGTATATTAGTGAAATCAAAAAGAAAATGGAATATGAGAGATTGTATAAGGATATATGACAAGTTAATATTTTACATTATAAAAATCCAGGTCACAGTTGTTATGAATGTCCTGAAAGAAGCTGAGTGTTGAGTCAGGTTTATTCATTGTATAGGTAAGTTTTAATATAACTCCAAAGTGTTTGGAAAACCAAAAACAAGATCTTTCTGAATGTTTCGCTGTATATACCACAGCTTTTTCAGAAGAATGTTCGGATTTCTATTCAATATCAAAATATATACGGGCAAATGGTACGTGTAGAAATTTCTGTCTTTATGTTATTGGTTAACTGTTTCGTTGTTCAGACTGATTGTTCCTAATTCATCATGGTAAATTTATGCAGTCCGTGTACGTATGTAAGTTTTATGAAAAATGTCATTCGTTGTTTATCGCATTAAAAACATGAAAAATATGTTGATTCATGAACAATAATTGATCCATATTATTTGTTTGCTTTTGAAAAGTCGAATTTGCAGTGGTGACCTTTTTAATACTAGTTGATGATTGAAGGTGAAATGAAAATTTGGACTGCGGTGGGATTCCAACTAGCGACAACCGAGTTTCTTACCCGATTCCCTGCCAACTGAGCTACGAGTTGCGACTGCTGACCAGAATTCTGTTTCACTTCAATCACCAAGGGTTTCGCCTGACTACTATGTGAATTCGTGACGCGTTATTACTGCTTGATCGTATTCACACTGGCTGCCTAGTCAGGACATCTCATCCCAATCGCAATCTAACTGAATTAGAGAGGGTGAGCATCATATTGTTTATCGTTTGACTATCTGAAATAGCCTCAGTTTGGCAGACTGGTATTTATACCGGGTAATGATTGAAAGTGATATGAAAATTTGAACTACGGCCGGATTCGAACCAGCCACCACTGGGTTCCGGACCCGATTTTCTACAACTGAACTATAAATACTAGTTTGCCAGACAACGGCTATCTTAGATATCTGTCCACCCATCCAACTCAACACAGGACCAGGCATTACTCAGTAACGGTCCTAGTTGCCACACCTCAGATCAGTACATCAAGTAAAAAGGCAGTGAAGTGGAAGATGATGAAGAAAAGAAAATTCAGTCAAAAGAAATATAAAGTACGAAAAGAGAGAAAGGAAGAATGAGGAAATGGTGAGATTCGGGATAGCGTTAAAATGAGGATAATGTGTATACATCTGTGCCACTGACATCGGTTCTGAGCCATGTGATCACCTAGAGTCTCCAACCACTGGCTTCTCTTGGCCTACGGACCCCAACCAGCTCGTCTGCATCACCCCACATGGCTCAAACCAACAGTCAGAGACTTCATATATCGATGACGTGTTTTAGTCTGGCCGCCTTTGGCCATTTTGCAGCCTGAATCTACTTCGACCAATATTGTATGGTGAGGCGGACGGTGGGTAGGCACACGTAACACGTGTCCCAGCTATCTTAGTCCATGAAGGTTCACATCCTCGTCAACTGACTTACCTCTTCTCCCTAAAACTCTACATCTGATATCTGTGTTACTCACCTGGTAACACCACTGGATAGTCAAATGACCTTTTAAATGTTTTTGTTTAATTAGAGTCTGCCAGATAGGTGACAAATCTATTCCTTCCTTTCTTTTTAAAGTATTTGTTGAGATCAAAATAACCAGGGTTTCTGAAGTCAATCTTTTTTTATTTGTATAGAAAATGACTATCCAAAGCCTTTTCTAAGCAATATTCTCAAAAAGAATAAAAAGAATCAAGCGAATAAGACAAGTAAGACTGAAAAGAAATCATGGATATCAACAATGACAATTCCATATGGAAAAGGTACTTCAGAACATATACAAAGAGATTATGCTAAGTATGATATTAAAGTATATTTCAAATCTTCAAATTCTTTGGAGGAAGCTATAGTTAAAGTGAAAGATGTCATTTCAAAGATGATATAAAACAACTATGTGTATAAGGTAAAATGTACAGAATTTGAAGCCAATTATATTGATGAAAATTTGTAGACAGCTGAAAGTTAGAGTGAATGAACATAAATTATGTTGCAAACATCTACCGAAAGAATGAAGTGTAATTAAAAAAAAGGTTTGAAAAAAAGATCAGCAATACCACTGAAAGTGGGCACAAAATTGATTTTGACAATGTTAATATATTTAGGAAGAGTTTCCATTCTGTTGAAGAAGGTGGGGTATATACAGCGAAACGTTCAGGAAAATCGATTTTTTAAACACTTTGAGATTATATTAAAACTTACCTATGTAGGTTAGTTTTTTTATTACAAGGTGTGGATACACAAGTTGTTTAAGGTGAAATAAGCTAAGGTTAAAGATCAATATGACAGTAACAAGATTATTATTATTTATCTCTTAGGTTCCTAATGGAACATAGGGGTTCTGTAGCACGTCTCCAGTGAACTCTCTTCTCTGCAAACTTTTGAACCTGGCTCCACCATTGCCCACAAGCTCTCATTTCTTCCTCGCACTATCTCATCCATGTCACCCTCACCTCGGACGCCCAACTCGTCGCTTCCCATCTAGGTTCCACTCGAGTACCTGGCCTGGCTCATGATATCCCCAGTCAGCCTTCTCAGTGTATGCCGAATCCAATCCATCTCCACTTCCTTCTGCATATATGTTGAGCGATAGGTTCTTGATTGTTTCTTTCCATAGTTCCTTGTTGCTTACTCTGACTATTCTGGTCTTCTCATCTGAGCTTCAGTAACGAGCCAGCCTAGGTGGCAGTTGTTGATGATGAATGTCTGTAGTTTGTTGGAAATGCCTTTTGTAACGCGCCAAGTCTCAGAGCTATACAGAAGCAGTGACTTGACTGGATTGGTGTTGAAAATGCGGGTGTTGTTCACGCTTTATGCTGAGTAGAGTGCAGAAGATCTCCACACTGTTTTCAGGCTAATGGACGCCTGCCTTGCTTTTCAGATCCTGGCTTTGACGTCCTCGTTTGTGCCACCACCTGTAGTTGAAATGATGCTGCCTAGATAGGTGAAAGAGGCTAATTCCTTTAAGTTTCTCCTGTTGATAGTGATTGGAGCTTGTTGTTGTTGGTTGGGTATCTTCATCACCAGATTTTAAACAATGTATAAAAATGGTGGAATAATATTCTAACAGTCACCTTGAAGATAAAGAGGTGGTTCGATTTAATTCTTAGGATAAAATTACCTGTTTTTAAACTATCTGAAACGTACTGAAGATTTCAATGTAGTATCGTGAGCTCATCTACCTGTAGAATCTTTCAGGTTGTTTGATACACAACTTATTGAGATATGTTCATGAAGCTGAGTCATAATCCACATCTCTGCTCTTTAAAATGGATATGTCATTAATACTGGGACAGCGGTGCGATTCGAACAAGTGACCCCTGGGTTTCTGAAGCGGTGTTCTACCAACTTAGCTAAGAGGTCCGACTGCTAACTAGATTTTTATTTTACTTCAGTCACTAAGGATGGTAAAAATGAACAAGTACATTTAATTAACATTATCGGGAATCGAGTATCTATCAAATTTAGAATTTGCTAATTAACGCTGTTTTGTTTAAGTAGATTAACATTTGTTTTATTTTGTCATTAATTCGTCTCATCTTCACAACCATACTAAAAGTGAGATAATGATGCAATATGACCTTGTCTGGAAATTGTTAAATTGAGTTACTTCTGTAGTCTTAGCTTCGAACTGGTTTATAAATTTTCCAACATAATCATTTTCTTATGTATAGTAACGATGGGTAGCAGCTAGCAGTGGAATTCAGGATGCACATTTCGTCCTATTTGAAACTCGTCAACTGGATGTTGTCCCCACCGGGACTCGAACTCGGCAGCGATCGCTTCAAACGTGAGAGCGTTATTCACTACACCACCGAGCCACGATCGCCACTTCTTGTGCGATGGGTATAGTTTTAGTGTTGTTACTGCTAGCCACTGCCCATCATTACGATACATAATTAAAAACACAGACAATGTCGAGGCATCCGCACAGAAGCCCATATGCCAACAGACACTGATCAATGCGGTCCAATCAACGACGGTTTAATGCAAGCAATTATACTAGTAATCATTTTCTACCAGAAATTTGACGTGCAGCTCATTAGTATATATCACTAGATTAAAACCAGTTGCTTGAATAAAAAACTGCATCTGGAAGCGACTATCAGCAAAATCGGTGGTTAAGTGATTTCATTATTCTTAAGGTGATATAATTAACCAATCATAAATTACTTGCCAAGATGAATATGTTTGCAGTAAAAACTCAGTCACCTTATTACATAGAAGCTTTAACGGATCCTTTATTATTCATGCTGTGTTATATGCTGCTGATAGGAGTAAATTTAATTAGTGTGTAGTGCGGCGTGTTCCGCAGAAGTCAAAACAGCAGACAGTCAACTGATGGATCTT